TCTCTCTCTCTCTCTCTCTCTCTCTCTCTCTTACATGTTAACCTATGCATGCATTTTGATTCACTTGAAAACATGTATTCACTTAAAGCAACACAGATTTCCGATTAGTTATAATAAGAGAATTCAACGTGATAACACAAAGAATACGTATGTTGATAATTAACACAAAGAATATTTGCATCCACTCAAAAATCTCGGGCAGCAGGGGCGGGGATGGGGGGGGGGGTAGGGGGGGTGGGGGAGGGGCCAGGAGGGGGGGAGGGGGAGGGGGAAGGTGTGGCGGGGGTAGGTGAGGGGTGGGGGAGGGGCAGGAGAGGGAGGGGGGAGGGGGAAGTGTGACAAATACATAAGATAACGAAAAAAGAAGCATCGATTCATGTATATATATATAAAAAATAGCCTACATTTTCGATAACAAGATCAATATGTGCTACTGTTATCTAATTACATCTCCTTTTATCTCTGATCCCCTCCCCCTTCCCCTCCCCCCCCTCCCTCCCCTTTATCCACCCTTCCCTCTCATCTCCATATATTTGTCTTCTCTCCAATATTCACGTATTTCTCTGTTGTATTTATTTCCTTCTCTCTTTTCTTCTTCCTTCTTCCCCTTTTTCTCTCTTCTTTTTAGTTCTGTTCTTTTTCGCTTTTCTCTTTTATTCCATCCTTTTCCTTTCTCTCGTTCTCATTCTTTCACTTCGTTATCTCTCTCTTCTCTTCTCTCTCTATCTCTCTTTCTCTTTCAAATTTTTTCTCTCTTCTATTCTCTCTCTTTTCTCTTCTTTCTCTTATCTCATTTTTCTTTCTTTTTTATTCATCTCCTTTCACACCATCTTCCTCCACCTCGTCCCCCCTTTACCCCTCTCCTCATCCTCCCTCCCTCTATCCTCTCTATCACTCTTCCCTGCTCCTCTCCTCATTCACTCCCACCCCGTCTCTCCCTCCTCCCTCCCCAACTCCTGTCAACCCTCCTCCTCTAACCCCTCTCCCTCTCTTCTACAACTCCTCTTTACCCTTTCCTTCCCCCTCCCACTCCTCTCCCTCCTCCATCCCACCAACTATCCACCACCTCCTCCTCCAACTCGTCTCCCCTTCACCACCTCCTCCCCACCCCACAATTCCTCCCCTCCACCAACTCTTCCCTCCCTCCCCCTCTAAACCAGTCCCTCCTCTTCTCCTCTCCCTCTTGTCCCTCTCCACTCCTCTTTCCTCCCTCCAGCACCTCCTCCCTCCCTCTCCGGTCCCTCTCCCTCCACCTCCAGCACCTCCAACCTCTTCAACCCCTCCCCATTCCACCCAACCCCACCCCACGCCCCATCAACTAGGCCTCCTGGTGCCGCCCACAAGAGAAATTCATTCATATGTCATCATTTCATTCACAGTTTCCTGGGTGGATCCGCGAGTGTAGAAAAAAAAACAACAACTCATTTCGGACATTCTAACGACCCTAGACAGACTAGATGATGTTTTCCATTTTCTAAAAAATAAAAAATAAAATAAAAGATAAAATGTAAAAAGACAATCTTATCTCCAAAGCTGATTACTGTTCATATTCATTGATATTTGATAATTCTGCGTATGTTTTGCGTATCAATCCCGCTACTGGAATATGTCACCTCAAGAAACCTTTTCTTTTTTATACTAAAAGAAAGAGAGATATAGATATGTAGATAGAAAGGTAGACAGATAGAAAGAGATAGATAGATAGAAACAGAAAGAGAGAGATATACAGAGACGATAGATAGATAGATAGATAGATAGAGAGAGAGAGAGAGAGGGAGAGAAGAAAGAGAAAAAAAAAAAAGAGTAAGAAAAAATAGAGAAAGAGAAAGAGAGAGAAAAAAAATGAAATAGAAAAGAAAAGAGAAAGAGAGAGAGAGATACTTCCTGTTAAAGTTATTTTGGATTCTCGCTTCTAGCTTTCTCGAAAAAAAATCAAATTAACTTTTTTGTTCCTCTCAAAGAATGGATATTAAATTTCTTTTGAATAAAAAAGGATGTCGGTTTTATAAAGTAGCAAAAACAGTGGGTTATTGTATATACTTGAGTACGCTGTATAATACCTTCATAAATAAATATGTTGCGTAAAGACCTACACCAACATAGATAAACACGTACAAACACACTTTCTTACTCACTCATAAGAATAAACATAAACATGTAACACACGCACATACTTACTAACATAGACACGGGATAGATACTCATATAGATAGATTGATAGATGGTTAGATAGATAGACAAATACATAGACGAACAGATAGATAGATAAATAGATAGACAGACAGATAGATAGATAGATAGACAGATAGATAGACAGATAGATAGATAGACAGACAGATAGATAGATAGACGGACAGATAGATAAATAGATAGATACATAGATAGACAGATAGATAGATAAATGGATAGATAGTTAGACACACTAACAAATAGACAGACAGATCAGATAGATAGATAGACAGGCAGATAGGTAAATAGATAAATAGATGCGGAGAGAGATACAGTTATATATACAACTATACATGTATGTATATATGTACCTGCGTGTACGTACATACATCAACACAGTAAGTGAATCTTTACTGACTCTCCAGAAACTCTACCTAAGGTCACTCTCCACTCGCGTCACATCATACAACCGTCTTCACATCAAACCGTCGTCACATAACACGTCACATCATCACATCACTCACACTGTGCTATAGGTATAGGGTTCCTTGTAATCTCCTTCCTCCTTCTCCTGCTCTGACCTCTCTTATTTCTTTTTTTTCTGCTCCTCCTCTTCGTCTTGTTTTTTCTCATTCTCCTACTCTTCCTACTTCTCCTCTTCTCTTCCTATTCCTCTTCCTTCTCCTCATTTTCTTATACTCTTTTTCTTCTTCCTTCTACTTTTTGTTCCTTCTTCTTCCTCCTCCTCCTCTCTTCATCCTCCTTCTCTTCCTCCTTTTCATACTGCCACTCCTTTTCCTCCTCCTCCTTCTCTTTCTCCGTTTCCTCTCTTTCACCTCCTCTATTTCTTCCTCCTCCTCCTCCTCCTCTTCATACTCCCACTCTTCCTCCTCCTCCTCTTCATAATCCCATTCTTCCTCCTCCTCCTCCTCGTCCTCTTCATACACCTACTCCTCCTCCTCCACCACCACAACCTCCTCCTCCTCCACCACCACCTCCTCTTCCTCCTCCTCTTCATACACCACTCCTCCTCTTCCTCCACCTCCTCCTCCCACTCCTCTTCCTCCTCCTCCTCCTCCACCTCCTCTTCATACCCCTACTCCTCTTCCTCCTCCTCCTCCACTTCATACACCACCCTCTCCTCCTCCTCCTCCTCCTCCTCCACCTCCTCTCTCATACCCTACTCCTCTTCCTCCTCCTCCTACTCCACTTCATACACACCTCCTCCTCCTCCTCCTCCTCCTCCTCCTCCACCTCCTCCGACTCCTTTTCCTCCTCCTCCACCTCCTCCTCCGACTCCTTTCCTCCTCTCTCCTCCTCCGACTCCTTCCTCCTCCTCAACCTCCTCCTCCCTCCTCCTCCTCCACCTCCTCTCCTCCGACTCCTTTCCTCCTCTCCTCCTCCTCCTCCCTCCTCCACCTCCTCTCCTCCTCCTCCTCCGACTCCTTTTCCTCCTCTCGGACGCGCAGGAGACCAGACCTATTCTCGGGGAACTGTCATCCCTACTAAAGGTTTGTGACAGACGTGGACTCTTGTTAACCGACCCCTGTTAACGTGGAGGACAGGTGGCTCGGGGTTGCTCATAACAGGGTGTGTGTGTGAAGGGGGAGAGAAGGTGGGGGGGTGGTGGGTGGTGGTGGGGGTGGGTTGAGGGAGAGATCGGGGCGGGGCGGGAGGAGAGGGGGAGAGAGGGGAAGGTTACAGACCCTTGGCGGCGTTGGTTTTGAAAATTTCTGTGTGATGTGGATTTTTTTTTTTTTTTTTTTTGGGGGGGTTGGAGGGTGTCGCTTTTATTTGTTTGTTTATCTTTGTGTGTTTGGGGAGAGAGAGAGGGATGGTGGGGGGGGATATCTGGAGGTGAAGATCTATGATGTCGATTTATTATCAGCTTTTTTTTTATCTGTTTGCTTGTTTGTTGTGGTTGTATTTTCTGTGGAATCAATAAAGGTTTATGTTGGATGATACAAAATGCATTAGAATCAAGTGAGGATAATATTATGCAAAAAATACTAAACCATCATCATTTATCAACAGTGTGGTTTCACTTGTCAAAATAATAATAATAATAGTGATAATGATAATAATAATAATAACAATAATAATGATGATAATAATGGTGATAATGATAATGATAATATATAATAATAATAATATATAATAAATAATGATAATAATAATAATAATAATAATAATAATGATAATAATAATAATAATAATATAATAATAATAATGTAATATGATAATAATAATATAATAATAATAATAATAATAATATAATGATGATAATAGCAGACAAATAGATAAAAAAATACACACACAGCCGGTCATATCTCCTTACCTGAGTATATCAGGTTACAGAGACGAACGGAATAATGATATTGAGGATAAACACGCACACACACAAACACGTTCACAGTCATGCCCTCACAAATAGATACACACCCACAAAACGAACATACGCACATACACAAAACACAGACACACATCCTTTCTCACAAATAAATACACACCCATAAAGCAAACACACATACACAAACCACACACCCACCCATCCACACACACAAACGCCCACCTACCCATCCACACCCACCCACCCACCCACATACACCAACACCCACCCACCACCATCCACACACACAACACCCCACCACCCACCCACCACACACACAAACACCCACCCACCAACACCCATCCACCCACCCACCCATACACCAACGCCCATCCACCACCCACCCATCCACACACAACAAACACAATCCAATCCCATCTCACTGCCTCCTCTCCAGCGAATTCCAACCTGACGGGCGCCCCCCCCCCTCTCTCTCCTTCAGATGAGTCGTTTCCTGTGCCACATGACCCTCCTGCTCCTGGCCGCCGTGGCACTCTCGGCCGCACAAGGTTTCTACTCCCAGCGATATGGCAAGCGAGGAGACAGCAACAGGGAGATTACAGGTGAGTCAGGTGTGAGTTTGGGTATTCAGCTTACTCACTTTACTCACCCGAAGAGACGACGCTGGGGAGGTCAGGGGTGAGTCAGGTGTGAGTTTGGCTATTCAGCTTACTCACTTTCCTCATCCGAAGAGACGACGATGGGGAGGTCAGGGGTGAGTCAAGTGAGTTCAGATACTCATTTTATTCACTTGGGGAGACGTTAAAAGGGGTGGTTAGAGGTGAGTCAGGTGTGAGTGTGGGTATTCAGCTTACTCACTTGGGAAGACGGCAATAGAGTGGTTAGGGTTGAGTCAAGTACGGGGTTCAGGTACTCACTTTACTCACCCGAAGAGACGATACAGGGGTGAGTCAAATGTGAGTTCAGGGATTCACTTTACTCACTTGAGGAGACAGCACTAGGTATATGATATGATATTCCAGCAAGAGGACCACAGATGAATATGAGTCACCTATGAGTTCATCACTCATCTTATTCACCTCTAATGGGATACGATACAGGGAATAAGGCACAGATGAGTCAATTGTGAGTACCATACTCACCTACGACTTACCTCTAATGAGATGAATGAGTGAGTAATTCACCGTTAGAGACCAGTGAATTAGTCTCATCCACATGTGAATATCCACTTGGTATTCAAAAGGATTAAGTGAGGGGGCAGAGTGGATTAAAGGACTTGTGGATAGGGTTATGGATAGATGTGGATAGATTCATTGTTAGGAAAAGGGAAATATTGAAAGGATATTGGATATTGTGGAAATAATTCGCATAATTGACAGATCACTTTTATCCAGAATCTCATATAAAGTTTGACCTCCCCCCCTGTCCTTCTCCCCCTCCTTCCTACCCTCCCTCCTTCCTCCAGCTCTCTCTCTCTCTCTCTCTCTCTCTCTCTCTCCTCCCTCTCGTCTCTCTTTCTCCTTTCATTTCTCTCCCTTCTCCATGATTCTCTCTCTCTCCTCCTTCTCATCTCTCTTTTTTTCCTCTTTTTCTCTCCCTCCTCATATCTCTTCTTCTCCCTGCCTCTCTCCATATTCGACATTTCTTTCCCTAATCCTTTCATCTCTCTCTCTCTCCTCTTTTCTCTCCCTCCTCCTTTTTATCTCTCTCAATCTCCTCTTTTCTCTTCCTTCTCCTTATATCTCTCCCTCCTCATTTCTCTCTCGCTCCTCCACATTTCTCTCGTTCTTCCTCATTTCTCTCCCTTCTCCTCATATATCTCCCTTCTCCCTGCCTCTCCCCCTCCCCCTCATTTCTCTCTCCCTCCTCCTTTTTATCTATCTTCTATCTCCTTATCTTTTTCCCTCTTCCCTGCTTCTCTCTCCCTCCTCCTTTTCATTTCCCTCCCTCCTCCCTGCACCTCCCCCCTCACCCCACTCCTCCCAATTTCTCCCCTCCCTGCTCCCCCTCATTCCCTCCATACCCCCCCCCCTCCACCCCTATCCCCCTACACTTGCTCTCTATAAATACAATATTGGCGGCCTCGCATTTACGACTCTATCAGCCCATATGAACCTTAATTCGCTCGTAAATAGAGTTCATTTTGGCTCGCTTTATGACCGCCGTTTCAACACTGACGCCTCTTATGGCCTGAATATGGTTTCGCGGAAAAGAAGAATTAACTTGACAAAGGAAGAAAGAAAGAGAAAAAATCAATTAATTTTTATTTAATTAAAGAGGGTGAACGGGTTGCGAGTTTTGTGATTTTTTATGCTCTTTCTCTTAATCTGCCTTTATATATTTTTTATTGCTGTTATTATCATTTACACACACGCACACACACACACACATATATATATATATATAGATAGATAGATAGATAGATAGATAGATAGATAGATAGATAGATAGATAGATAGATAGATAATATTTTTTCTTATTTTCTTTTTTTCTCTTTCTTTTGCAATAATCATTTTAATTCAGAAATCGTAAGTAAAAAATCATTCACGGATAGAAAGTATAAACTAATAATTCAATTGAGTCACTTTTAAAACTGAAGAAGAAACGAAATCAGGTTCCCAGTTTCCCTCCCTCCTCCTTTTCATCTCTCTCTCTCTATTTCTCTCCCTCCCTTATTTCTCTCCTCCTCCTTTCATTCTTCTCTCCTCTTTTTCTCTCCCTCTTCCTTATTTCTCTCCTTCCTCCTTCTCATCTCATTCCTTCCTCCTCATCTCTCTCTCCTTCCTCCACATTTCTCTCCCTCCTCTTTTTCATCTCTCTCTCTCTCTCTCTCCTCTTTTCTCTCCCTCCTCCTTATTTCTCTCTCTCCTCTTTTTTATCTCTTTCCCTCCTCCTCATCTCTCTCTCCTTCCTCCACATTTCTCTCCCTCCTCCTTTTCATCTCTCTCTCTCTCCTCTTTTCTCTCTCTCCTCTCCTCCACATTTCTCTCCCTCTTCCTCATATATCTCCCTTCTCCCTGCCTCTCTCCCCCTCCTCCTCATTTCTCTCTCACTTCTACTTTTTTATCTCTCTTCCATCTCATCTCCCTCCTTCTTCCTCTTCTATCCATTATGAAAGGAAAATAATGATATTTTTTTTAATGAGCAACAGAAGATAATCGGGAAAATAGTGCCGGAAAAATAATGATACCAATTTTTTTTTTCTTAATGGGTGACAGAAGAGAATTGCGAAAAAAAAAAAATCTGAAGGTATTTTCCTTGCTTTAGCCACCTCGGATCGCACGTGATAAATACCCTGGAGGTCAGAATATAAATACAGAATGGATACGGGGATTAGGTCGCGCTGCCTGACCGCAAGAAATTTATCCATACTCCCTTACCCTCCCCCCCCCACTCCCTCTTTCACCTCCCCCTTTTCTTCTCTCTCTCTCTCTCCCTTTCTATCTTTATCACCTTGGCTCTTTCTGTTCTCGTCTTACTTTTATTCATTTTATCCTACCTTTCTGCTTTCTCTCTTTCATTCTATGTTTTTCTTTTCATTTTCCGTTCTCCTATTTATTTATTTCTCTCTCTCTCCTCTCTCCTCTTCTTCGTATGCTCTTCTCCTCTCTCTATTCCCATTTTCTTCCTCCTTTTCTCCTTTTTCGGTCTCTCCCTCTGTCTTCCCTTTTCTTCTCCCCACTCCCCCTCTTTTCTCCTCTCCATATCCCTTCTACTCTCTTCTTATTTTCACACCCTTTTCCCTTTTCTTTCCCCTCCCATTCTCCCCCCCTTTCCCCTCTCCCCTCCCTCTCTTCTATTTCCCTCCTCCCTCTCCCCTCTTTCTCCAACTTTGCTCCCCTCTTCCCTCACTTTCTCCTCTCTCTCGTATTTCCCTCTCCCTCCTTCCCCGCTGTTCATCTCATCCCACCTTCCTTCTATCCATCCTGTCCACCCCCCCCCCCCCCCCCCCCACACGCCTCGGGCAGTAACAACAGCCTGTCTTCGCCAACAAACCGACGCGACCAGAAAACACGATCGAAAGAAAAAAGAAAATAGGTCTTTGTGGGAAGGTCTTCAAAAAAATGGTCTTTTGATTTTACTGTGTCGTTTTTCTTGAAGATGGAGGAAGGGGGGTACTTTTTTTTTTTTCTTCTTTTTTTTTACTTGCTATTTCGGCGAGGAACTGTCTTCGGTTATGCAGGGCTGTTGTTGTGTATCTTTTGGATTTTAGATGGATATGGGTACGAAAATACCCTCGCTCTCCAGCTTACATACGCACATACAAGCTTACGCAAAAACGCACACACACACACACACACACACACACATACACAAAAACACACACAAATAAACACACACACAACCCCACACCTCCCTCCTACACACAACCACCACACCTCCCCTCCTGCACACACATCCTCCCAACCTCCACCCACCCACCAACCCACCCACCCACCCCAACCCACACCCATTCATACCTCCAAAACAGCTCCATCTCGACCCAACAGTCCCACGCCAGCATAATGACACTTAGACGCAACTGGCACCGTAAAACCTCCGTCCTCAGGGGAGGTTTACACGCCACTGATCTAAGACAAAGCATCACTAAGAATTTCAAGGCTGAGATGGGCGTCCTCCAGAGCGGCTTGGGCGGCAGAACGTTCTCTCTGCCTCTGTCTCTTTAGAGTCTTTGTCACTGTCTCTTTATCTCACTATGTTCAGTGTATGTTTATTTATTTTTTCTATCTGTGTTGTCTATGTTCTCTCTCTCTCTCTCTCTCTCTCTCTCTCTCTCTCTCTCTCTCTCTCTCTCTCTCTCTCTCTCTCTCTCTCTCTCTCTCTCTCTCTCTCTCTCTCTCTCTCTCTCTCTCTCTCTCTCTCTCTCTCTCTCTCTCTCTCTCTCTCTCTCTCTCTCTCTCTCTCTCTCTCTCTCTCCTCTCTCTCTCTCTCTGCTATTCCCACATAGAGAAAGATAAAAAAAAAATTAACAAAAATAAAAAGCACAGAATTCGACATTCACTTTTGATTTCATCTCTGAATCCAAAGAAAATAAATCGTTCTTGATTCAGAAGAAAGCAAAAACAAAAACAAAATCTTAGAAATACCTTTTTCTCTTTTTTTCTCTTTTTACAAAGGCATGTTCCCTTCCACGCGCCAAGCCGGTGTCCCAAGATACCCCAATACGTTTCGGTCCGTAGCCCATTTCAAAAGAAACTTTCCGGGTAACATGAAAGAAATATATTGTGTTTACTCTAAAAGGTTCCATTTGATCTCCCGTCGAAGGTGGCTGGTAAAAGTATGGCCTCGTTTTGTTGATATATATATATATTTTTTTTTTTTTTCTATATCATTCTCTCAACTTCAAATAAAAAAGGATTGAATGACGTCACGTCTAGAGCCTCAAAAATATTTTCGGAATCACTTAACGTTTTGAATAATCTTACGCTGATTACCTTGAGTACATTGTCATTAAGTCCTTCATTAAAGTTTAGTCTAATTACTTTCGCCCTGTCCTTCTATTCCCCTCGTTCGTAAATGGAGATTGAGGGGAAGAGGAGATGGGGGGAAAGGGGGAGAATGAGGGAGATATAAAAGAGGAGAGAGTGAGAAGGGGAATAAAGTGGGGGAGAAGGGAAGGAGGAAGAGATAAAGATTAGGAAAAAGGGGAAAAAGGTGGAAGGGATCCAGATGAGGAAAATGAAGAGGCGAAAGAGATAAAGGAGAGGAGAAGAGAAAGTGCAAGAGACAAAAGAAAAGGAAAAGTAAAGATCAGAAAAAAAAAATAGATAAATAAAAGAACAAAAAAGAAAAAAAAAGAAAAAAAAAACATATGTATCTAGACACGTGGGTAGAAGTAGGGGGATTTGTGGGGTAGGGGGGGGGGGACTTAGATTTAGCCTCAGGTGAGATAACTTCGAAAAAAAATTGATGCTGTGACGTCATTCACGACGCCGAATCTCGGGTTCCATCCAGCTAATTATGTTAAAGCCTCCTCCGCCCCACGTGCGAAGCGAGGGGGAAAATGGGGGTCTTAATATGACCCCAGAGTATCGAAAGCAATGGGGTCAGGAGGGGGGTTGAGGGGTTGAGGGTGGAGCTTGGGTGTGGGTGGTGGGATGTGAGGGAGGGGGGGGTTATTTAGGGTGTGGGGGGATAAGGGGTGGTTGGAAGAATGGACGAGTGGGGGAGGGGAGTGGAGGGAGGGGAGATTTAGGGGTGGGGGGGGGGAGGGGTGGTGGAAGAATGTTTATGTGCGGAAAAGGATTTGGTTTCGGAGATAAGATGCAGCGCGGAAGGAGGTGGATGGAAGAAGGGAGATGGAGAAGGATGTGTTAAGAAAAAAAGAAAAGAAAAAGTGTATTCTGGATATTTCACTCAACGGTTTTCTTGCGATGAATGAGACTCTCTTAAATGGGTCTATCTTGATCTAAACCCGCCTATCTATCTATCTATCTCATTTCTTTTCTTTTCTTTAAATGCCCTTCCTCTCTCCCTCTCTCTCTCTCTCTCTCTCTCTCTCTCTATCTATCTCCTCTCTCTTCTCTCTTCTCTTCTCTCTCTCTCTATTTATCTCTCTCTTTATCTATCTATCTATCTATCTATCTCTTGTCTTGTCTGTCTTGTCTTGTCGTCTTGTCTTCTCTCTCTCTCTCTCTCTCTCTCTTCTCTCTCTCTCTCTCTCTCTCTCTCTCTCTCTCTCTCTCTCTCTCTCTCTCTCTCTCTCTCTCTCTCTCTCTCTCTCTCTCTCTGTGTCTTTCTCTCTCTCTCTCCATTCACACACTTAAGCCAAGATAAATGCAAAGTCATTGATACTGCTCTCGGTGATTCAGACTAAGGTTTTGCAGAGATAGATAGCGTCCATTTTCTGTCATTCTCTATCTCTAAAAATCAATAAAAACAAAACAAGTCTCATGCATTGTTTTTTTAGGCTTTTTAGAAAAAACATATTTCAACTCAATCTCCTCATATATCCTCACTTTAATCTTTTTTCGCTTCTCCTTCGTTCCTCATAAATTAAGAGTGTACAGGTCCCAAACCACAGATTTGTACTCGAGGCTTCCGATATAAATGGAACAGTATCAGTATAAATCAGATGAAATACGATACAAAGAGGATTAAGGGAAACCATTTTCAGTATCTTTGTAATATGAATAAGGAATTCCTATTTACTGGTATTCGATTTTGTACTGATGATGATAATCCATTTCATTTATTTAGTGATACTGTATGCCAGTCGCACGTGTATGCTGTTACTAAGCACCAGTTTTATGTATTCTAACACTGGATACTTATCATATGCAAGTACTAACGGTGAAAATATTTTTTGAATGTTACAAACACTCAAAACCTCTCACATTGCCGACGCTGAAACCCGTTTACTGTATGATTTCCAAAACAACAAAGTCCCCCCCGAATACACAATCCAATTCCCATTTTCTGTCATAAACGAAAGTCACCTGTTTACGTCATCGCTATACTTACCATTTTCTAACATAAACGGGTTATTCGTTTACACGTTTACATTTCGCGGGACAGAATCCTTGCATTTCTTATTTTCCGGCATGTGTTTACACCACTCTCATATTTCTCATTTTCTATGATAAACGAAAATCACTTCCTTGCCCTATCCCTTTGTTATCCGTTTTCTATCATACGCGTGTCACTTGTTTACACCCTTAAATTTCCCATTTTCTATGAGAAAGTAATTTTCCCCTCACAGTACGTTCCGGATTCTACGCCAATCGTTACGGACGATCCCCACCTCATGACCTTCCCGAAATTAAGGTCAGGTCATCCAGATTCATCGGCGGTTCTCGCTACGGAAAGCGATCTGGTCCTGCTGACGTCACTCCTATCATGACCTCTGAAGGTAAGAGAGTCGCGGGTCGTGACCTCAGATACCGGGTTAAATCGGGTTAGGATTAAGGTTTGCTTAGATGGGACTATTATATATATATATATA